GCCAAAAGGTGAGGACTGAAGAGCATGATTAAGTCGAGAGACAAGAACTAGAAAATGATCAGATTTGTGGAGAGGAGTTTGTCTGGAGCGGTGGTTCTCAAACTTGATCACTCACAGACACCACTTGAGGAGACTGTTAATGATGCAGATTGCCATGTCTAGACCCTATCCCAACAGGAATCTGCATTTTTAACGCACCTCTGGTCATTCTGATGCAGGTGGTTCTGAGAAACACCCTGCTGGGGCGTTTGGGGAGAGCATGAGGTCCTAGACCACTCACCTTTCTTTCTCTTCCACTTGAAGTAGACCATCAGGCCCAAAATCACCGTTAGGAGCACTGTCCCAGCCAGTGCCACGCCAACTGTAGCTCCTAGATCCAGGGGCCAAGACCCTGAGCTCCTTTTGCCCCTTGAGCCACTGAGACCATCTGTGGTGCTGGTGACAGTGCTGGCGGCAGTGCTGGTGGGAACCTGGGTGGTTTTCTTGGTGGCTGAGAAGACATGAGAACTAAGCAAATTCTCCCCTGGAGGACTGGAGGTATCTGGGTGAAACTGTCACACTCTATCCCCTAGTTTGGGAAACATTGGAGATGGGGAACAACCCTCTGAAGCTCTCACACAGAAAGGGGAGGAACAAGGTGAAATGCTAAGGATTAAGAATCCACATCACTCAGTTTAAATCCTGACTCTACTGGTGATCAGTGGTGGGACCTCAGAACCTCATTTCAAAAATAAAACATTTTTGTTGTGGTAGGACACATAACATGAAATTTACCATTTTAACCATATTTAAATGAATAGTTCAGTGGCATTAAGTACATTTACATGGTATGCAACTCTCACCACTATCCATCTCCAGAACTCTCATCTTTCCAAACTGAAACTATGTTTCCATTAAACAACTCCCCATTCCCTTGACCCCAGTCCCAGGCACCCACCATTCTACTTCCATCTCTATGAATTTGACTACTCTAGATACCTCATATTAGTGGAAGCAAACAATATTTGTCCTTTTACAGGATTGTTTTAATAAGTGAGAAATCATCTGTAAAGAACCTAGTTTATGTTGGAAATATGTTTTTAAGGTTAAATTAATATGTATTGAACTTTAGTCCCTACAAACAGATTGTACCTTTGTAGATGTTTAATCGACCACTGAAAAACTGATATAATACTAAGCCACAGGAAAACATTTAACTCCAATAAAATCTTCGGGTTGGTGTGGACCAAGTTCTCTGTCCGCTCTTGTTAGAAATTAATAATAAAACTGTAAATAACATCTCTCAATTGAGATAAATAATTTAAAATTCTTAGTCAAAGAAATATATATGTATATATATATTAACAGGCCCTAAACATCCATTGCCTCAATTTCAGCTTTCCAATATTCTGTGGTGAGCGTATTGTTATCTCCATTTTACCCATGGGGAAACTGAGGCACAGAGACTTGATGTAATGGAATCCTCTGGGCTGTGAAAGATGCTTGGGAGAATTGGTGACAGCTGGACAGGTGGGCAGAAGAGAGGACAAGGGACCCACTTGGCTTCTCAGCAGGACCTCCAGAGGGTGGTCTAACCAGTCTGCAGGGTGACACCTGGATTCCATTCCTGCCTTGCCCAGTAGCTATGGGACCTGGCTGGACAGTCTCCTCTTTGCTGAACTGCCCGAGGAGGGGGTGGACGCCACCAGGGGGCACCTCTGCTCATTCCATTGGGAAATAAAGACTGTTTACAAAACAGCCTCTGCTTCACATTCACAGAGTACCTGCTGCCTTAGGCCCTGCTGCTCCCATGTATTATCTTCCTAGATGCAATGCTGGCTGTTTTGTGTCAAATTTTGTGGTATGCATGTAATAATGTGGACTTTAAGCATGTGAAAGAAAAATGGTCTAAATTATAAGAAGTGAAAAATCTACCATTGTATGGGTTCAGCTGTGAATTACAGAATAATAATAATTAAAAAAAAATACCCAGAAACTTAACAAATTAGAGAAAAATTATTTTTTTCTCACATAAAGACAAGTCTGGAAGTAGGCAGCCAAGGGCTGGCACAGCAGATCTGTGACACCAGTAGAGACCATGACCTTCTGTATCCTTCCTTTCAACCAACTGTAGTATGTGTTTGGTTTCCTGTGGTCACAAGATACCCGCCCCCTCCCAGTGCTGCATCTGCCTCTCAGGAGGTGAAAAAGAGAAAGAGAAGAACAAAAGACTTTCGCCAGCTAAGTCTCTCTGCCTGTTAAAGAACTTTCCTAAAGCCCAACTCAGAAATGTCAGCTTATACAGGTCATTGGCTAGAACTGCGTCACATGGCAATCCCTAGTTGCAAGAAAGTCTGGGAAATGTGGCTTTTTCACCAAACAATTGGCTACCCTGGGGCGGGGGCGGGGGAGGGGGGTAGAATCAAGATTTTGTTATTAAGGAGGAAGGGAAGAATGGATTTGGGTGGGAAACTTAGTGTCTGCCCTGTCACCCCTTTCATTAAAATTTTATTTAAAAGTTCATTTGGAAAAACTTGATATTACTTTGCATTTCTTTTTTTAATCAGGAAATATAATTCAGCCACATGGGGACTATGGCAGCCATGAGAAAGTGGCTCATAGACCTCCAACTACAGAGAGCGTAATTGACCAAGAGTTCACTGTTATGCTCTGAAAGGGCCAGTGGTTCATCCTCACCGATTGGGATATCTTGTCCAGGTACGGGTTTCCTGCCTGCAGAGCCTGAGCCAGCACTACTGTCCTCATTTTGTAGTCCATTTGGGATCCATGGAGTCCCACACAGGTTAGCCTCCAACTAGGGGACCCACTTCACAGAGAAGGAGGAGTGGGATGAGACCCTGACCTTGGAATCCACGGTTCCTACCACATACTACATCACTCAGAGGCAGCCAGCCTTACAGAACCCTGGAATGGCCTTCTGAAGGTGCAGCAAAAGCCCCAACCTGGAAGAAACACTCTAATAAGATGGCCTTCAGTGTATTTGTTAGATCAGAGACCCTACATGGGGCTGTGTCTCTGATAGGAATCAAGGGTTGGAAGCATCGTACCCAGTGACTCACTGGAGATTCTGTGCTTCCTATCCCTGCAACTCTGGGCTTTGCAGGATTAGAGGTCTTGACCCCCAAGGGGGGCACACTCTTGCTCAGGGATACAGCAAGGATGCCATTGAACTAAAGTTACTGCCACTACCAGGGCGCTTTGGACTCCTGTGTAAGATGAGTCACCAACTTGGCAGGGTAAGTGATCCTGATCAGCAGGAGGAAATAGGGCTACTTGCATGTGGTGAGAGCAGGAAGGAACCTTTGTGGAATGTGGATGACCCCGTTGGCCACTTCCTGTTACTCTCCACACCATTGTAACTGTAAACAGACATGTACAGCAAATCCAGACTGAGAAGGGCATGGTTATTAATGATAAATGTCCCTGAGGAACAAAGCTTTGGGCCAACCACCAGGCAAGCCACCAAGATTTGCCAAAGGGAGAGCTCGGGATGAGGGAATGTAGACTAAAGAGTGGAGGAAAGAGAGGATGAGCACCAGTTGCAGCCCTGAGACCCACGGCAGCAACAGGGAATGTATGTCATATGTACCTTAACAGTGATTATCTCCCAGTCACAGAATTCTAGGTGATTTTTATTTTGTTTGCTAATTGTTTGATACTTTTTCAAATTTTCTGCTGAAAGCACGTATTACTTTTTACAACTAGGAGAAATATTTTACCAATCAGTCCATTTGTCTTTATATATACATTATCAGGCTTTCCACTAGGGGGCTCTGGTAAACGGAAATGGAATCCATCTCTTAGCTTTTGAAAGGCTCATTCAAATTCTACACAGAGAATCTAACATAAAATGACAATCCTCATATAATCCTGGTGTAATAGATGGAGCCGGCTTTGTCTCCACCCTCATCCACCCAGCTCTGCTTTTCCATGTGGGAACTAAACCTCTCAGGATGCACTGGACAATGACCAGTGTGTCCTCCTCTGTCACCATCCACATCCCAATTCTTGCTGGCTGTTTTATGGTCTGTGCATTAGAAGAAGTCAGAGAAGAGGTACAGTCAGATGACGGGGAGGGCTTGCAGGCTTGATGATCACATCAGCTTCTCCATCCACACAGCACTAGAACCCACAGAAGCGCTCAGGTCGGACAGATGAAGGAGAGGAGAAAGTCCATCTTATTGCTGCCTAAGGTGGATGTTGTCAGGCAGCGCCAGGCTGGAGGTCATTTCCCAGGCATCCACGCGGAGGTCAGCAAAGGCAGCTTGGAGGAGCCGGTTCATTTGGAGGGTGAACCAGTCACTGCCATACACAGACTTGTAGCCGGTGTTGGCCAGCTTGATGACCACAAGAGTGCGGGGCTCCCAGGCCAGCAGCGCAGCCACAGCTGCCCGGATCCCTGCCAGTCTTCGCACAGAGATGGATGGAGGGAAGGTGGTGAAGTGGGCGCCGAGCCTCAGCACCATCACGGTTTGGGGGCCCCCGGCCAGGCCCCTCAGCTCCTGGACCACAGAGTGCAGGGAGGCCACTGGTGTGCGGAGAGAGAGCAGGGGCCAGCTGTGGGCCCGCCAGTTCAGCGCTATGCCCTGATTTGTCTCCACGGCCATCAGAGGCCCTGTCTGATATGGGACATGTAGATCCACCGGCTTCAGGGCTGAAGGGAGAGAGAGGAGGCTTAGAGTTGATATAGGACTGTACTTCCTCATTTAAAAATACAGAATATCTAGCATCACTTTCCTCTTAGGACACAATCATTCTATGGCCCAATCACCTAATTTTGCTCTCCCTAATCTATAATATTGCCAGTGACCACCTAGTTATCAAGTTTGAAGATCTATTTTCAGTCATCCTCCTCCCTGGCTCCTTGTAGCATTTTGTCTCAATTTTTCTCTGGAATCTCTCTCCTTTATTAACAGTATGTTGTCACTCTCTGCAGCCTCCTTTCTGACCAGGCACTCCAACTCAGATTCATCCACTGGCTCCTTTCAGCTACTCCGAGATGAAGACTTGCCCCAAGCTAAAGGTTCATTTATGTTCTTGTACAATGAAGGCCAGCCTAGGGGACCAGAGGCTCCTGAGATATAGTCTGTTCACTTGGTCATGTGCCATGATAGAGAGCTAGACACACTTTCTGGAAAAGGCCCTTCCTTTTTTTGCACAAAATTCCCACCTGCTTGCCCCACCATATGCTCCAGGGCTGTGTAGACACAGAGAGGCACCTTTCTTTAGTCCACAGAAAGCTGCCAGATCAGCTAGCAGAGGCTCTGTTTTTCCCAACCTTTGGTCAAGAGCTTCCACTAATCTTTAGAAACATCTTTTGCTTAGGAAACTCACCAACTTCACCCTGCCATGAGCAGAATTATCCCAAAGTAACCCAGGGAGGTCATTTGAGGTTGCTGAAACGTTGAATTAGTTGGGACCGGAGTTCCCTTTTTTTTCCCCAAAGGGAGGAACTGCACCCAGACTATCCTCAGAGGAATAAATACCCGAACTATCTGAAGTTTAGACACCTCAATTCAATTCCAGTCCCATGTCTTCAAATGCCTCATCCATATGCTCTCCAGAAGGCCCCCTCCCCCACCACCCTTTTAACCTAATACGAAAGGGTAGAAAATAAATATGCTGTTTTCTCTCACTCCTGTCCCTTGCTCCCACATCCAGTAAGCAGCCCAGTGACTTTCATTCTGGGCTCATTTTCTGGTTATCTATAGTTATCTGGTCATCTCCCTTCATTCTAGAACCAATCAGTCAAACAGACTGTCAGTTCCTCTAGCATAATATTTCCTTTATTGCTGACTCTATTTCTTTACCAATTTAGCCTCTCATCACCTTGCATGCTGACCATACAATTGTCTTATACATTGTCTTCCATCTTTCTTTTGTACTCCAATTAGTCCAACAATCTGAAAACTGCTTAAAAACATTGTATCTCCCAAATGCCACACAATAAACCCCTGGTTTCTCTATAATTATTTTCCTAAATTTCAACTCTATTCCTCTAGTATCCTCTAGTATCCTCCAAACTCCTCAATTCTAACCATCTATTTATGGTTCATCAAACACACCTACTCTCAGGTTAGAGCTCCTGATCATCTACTTAATTGCTGAGATTACACATAATCTGGGCATCCTGTTTCCCATCCCTTTCCCCAGCCCAAACCCAGATGTCCTGTCCTTCTACATCACTCTCCTGAAATCCAGACATTTTGCCTCATTGACAAGATAGATGTTTTCTGTCTTCTCAAAGCCCTGTTTCTTCCTGTTTTTTTTCTTAGGAGTCCAGCCCTCTCCCCCTTACCACCACTCACAGGGCACAGTGTCCCGCAGATACTCCCACCACTGCCGAAGTATGGAGTCCTCCGTCATGTGGATGATGTGGCCAGCCAGGCAGCTCAGGATGCTGTCCACAGTAGAGAAGGAGCAGCTGGAGCAGGACAGCAAGTGCCACACGTCTCTGTGGTAGAAGCCAGAGGGCTTTGGGCCTGGGATCCCAGGATGGCATGGTTGTTGGGGGGACAACACTGTAAGAAATTGCTTGTAAGCAAAACAATCAGTGGGTACAAAAGAGGCTAAAGCTACAGGCATGGAATAAGTGCTGTCTTTTCTGCAGGCCCCACTGTCACTTACCCAGACTCTTGTTGCTGTGCTCAGCCACCCAGATTGAAGAAATACCCTGAGGGAGGACCTTGTCTTCCACATTCCTGAAGAGAAACCAATTAGCAAGAGGGGAACCATTAATGAAAATGTGCGATAGGAAGGAATTCTGGGCTAAGGTGAAATGTGGGTTCTTGGAGGAAAGGTAGTTCTCAAAGTCAAGGGCATCTGTCCAGTGTTAGGGCTCCTGGGAGTTAGGGCTTGAGGGCAGGAGAGCAGTTGGAAGCTGGAGTTCAGGGATCCAGGTCCTTTAAATTTTTTGGCCTCGGGGATTTCTTCAATGCAGAAAGTAAATTGTTTTAAAATGTACCAAGGATTTTGGTTTTATTTAGATATGGTAAGGCCAGCAGACTAGGAGATGATTGCCATGGAAAAGACAGTGTGTGATTCACAGTTTCTGAGAGAGGTGGGGGCACAATTCACCATGCAGGGCCACATGGGGAAACACCAGGGTCAGTCAAGAGGCATTAGGAGCAGGAGGAAATATAGGCAAAAGCCTTTATTGTGTTTTTTGTAGAAAGAAATTTAAAGGAAAGGTAAGAAGCTGAGCAGATTTAGGGTTGGACAATTTGAATAATTTCAGTGGGCTCTGGGCCATAGAGGTGGTTTCTAGTTGTCCTGTACCTGGCCCTGGGATAATTTCAGGCAGGCAGATCATGTCTTGGCTGCAAGAGTCTGATAAAAGGAGGCGGGGTGGCAGTATGGACTCAGGAGTGGGTGGGTTGCATATCAAAAGTATGCTCGAGGCAAATGGTTTGCTATTTCTATGAGTTAGCTAACCCTAGGAGGGGCAGTCCCACAAGGCCCCAAGATGTCAAAGCATCACAAAATACAGAGAATTAAAGACATGATTTATATGAGAAGGTGACTGGAGCCTTTTGCAAGAAGTCTTAACTTTCCTGTTGATTTACTGAGCCCATTCCAAATGGACTGTCACTCCCACCACTCTCAGATATGGCAAAGTCCAATGTTAATTTGTCAGCTCAGCAGCAGCTCCCCCATCCCTGAGATGTGCTGGTCCCCTGGTTGCCAGGACGCCTCCTTCTCCTAGTAGCCCCTTTTGCAACCCTCCCCACTTCTCCACAACCTCTTTATATTGGAGCATCCAGGCCCAGTCCTCCCTCCTCTTTTCCAATCACACTCCCTCCCTTGGTGGTCTCACTCAGCCTCCTGACTTTAACTTTCAGTTAGATCTCCAGCCCAGACGTCTCTGCCAAATTCTAGGTTTGTGTATCTGACCATCTGCTCAACATCTCTGTGTGACATCTAATGCACGTGATCAAACTCCCAATCCGCACCCTCACCTGCCTCACCTAGAGCTGTTCTCACTTCAGCTGATGGCAACTCTGTTCTTCTAGGTGAGTGGGCCCCAAACCCTGAAGCCATCCACAAGTTCCCACTTTTTGGCAGATTATGCCACTCAGGAAATCCTATGGGCGCTACTTTCAGAATACATCCAGAAAAGAATCACTTTAGACAGTTCTACCACTGTAACCTCAAGCCAAGGCCTTGGCCTCTTAACTTGCAGTTTCCCTACTTTTCCCTTAACCTTCTGCAGTCCATTCTCAACACAGTGGGCCAACAGATACTTTAAAAATGTAAATTACATCAAGTCCAACTTCTACTCAAAATCCTGCAATGGATCCCTTTTCTCTTACTGCAAAAACCAATATACTTACAGAGCCCTTCCTGGACATGCCACACCCTTCCCTCAACCTCACTGGTCTCTTTATCCGCCACCTCCTTGTCCTTCACTCCACTTAGCTGTTTGGTTTCCTTGCTGTTCCTCAGACACACCAGGCACACTACCATACTCCTTATTCCTGGAACCCTCTCCTCCCTGGTATATCCTTGGCCAACTCTCTCACCCACCTTGAAGTCTTTGCTCGGATGTCATCTTCTTAATGAGGTCTACCCTGACACCCTATTTAACATTGCAACCTGCCCCTGCCATACTCCTAATCTTTATTTCCTCCATATTTTAAATTTCCCATAGCATGTATCTTCTTCTAACATCCTGTACAATTTACTTATTGTTATGTTTATTCGTTTATTGTCTCCTTCTCCTGTCCATGTATACTTTATCAAGTCAGGGTCCTTGTCTGTTTGTTCACTGCTGCTTTCCCACTGTCTATAGCAGGGCCATGCTTGTAACAGGGGCTCAGGAAGCATTTGCTGAATGAAGGAATGAACTGATTGAAGAGGTTGTGTCCTCAGAGGAGAGGAGACTTTGCTTTCAGAAAGGAGGAGGAGAGCAAGAAAATATTCCTGCAATCTGGAAAGATGGCTTAGCGTGGCCTGCCCTAAGAGTGCCAGGGCCCTAGTGCCCCATAGAGGTTTTGGAGCTTCAGGAAACAGGTGTAGGATGATCCCAGGAACTTTGGATCCAGGTGGAGATGCCTGTCTTTCCAGTAGAGCCCAAGACCACACAGACTTGGACAATGGGCACTTTGGGGTGACCAGAGTGGACAGATAACTAAGGGAAGATTTCTGATGGTTAAGGTGTCAGTTCCTTGGCAGGACCCTAGGCGAGGGGAGCCCTCCTCACCAGCCCAGAGGTAGAGGTCCTCAGAATAGGACTAAAGTTGATGTCAAGCAAACACTGGACCTTGGGGTTGCAAATTCATATCCACCACACATTTGCCACCACATATGTGGTTATCTGTTTAATGCCTGTCTTCCATCAGTACCTTGTTAGCTTCCTCAGGGAGGGGGCATTCTGCCTTCCTCCATTCAAAGGATCTCCAGGACTTTGAACAGTGTCTGGCTCAGAGTTGGGGGTGGGGTGAGGCTCAACAGAAGCAAACACTTGAGATTAGATGATAAGAGCTGACAGAGCCCACTGAGTGCTGTCCTTATTCTAAGCCCTTGACATACATTAAAGTATTTGTTCCTCACCACAAGTCTATGAGGGTGGTATTATTATTATTATCCCCTTTACACATGAGAGAACAGAGGTGCAGAGAGGATAAGTAACTTGCCAGAGATCACACAAATAGAAGCTGGCAAATAGTAACAAGTGGAGCAGGGATCTGAATCCATACAGTCATGCTCCAGAGACTCTTGCACTTTATCTCCGAGTGACATCCTAAGACAGGACATCTGTATTGAATCTTAGATTTATTCCCAGTTGACCAATGCCTAAAGGGTTTGTGGTTCTTTTCTGACCAAAGGGAGTATAAAAAATGGTCCTGGTGCTAAATTCTCATTTTGGGAGGTAAATGGTAGTGGGAATTCCCCAGACATGAAGAGTGGCTGAGAGCCTCCAGAGATGGGCATCTGGTAGAGCTGGCACCTCTGCCTCCATGCTTCAGGCCAGCCAGCTCCTCTATTCCTCATAGCTGCCAGTGATAACTTTCATGCTCTTTGGGGCCACAGAGCAGCAGTCATCTCGGCTGCCAGCTCACCCCCGCCCCCGCCCCCACCTCTACCTCTTGCCACAGCCTCTCCTCTCCCTTCCCCCTCAGTGGGGGTATCCCTCTACCTCTTCTCTGCCTCTCTAGCCATCTTCTGGGACCCTATTTTTGTCTCTTTTCCCTACTGTTTCTCTACTGGAGACCAGATGCCTGGGTCTCCCATCTTAAAAAAAAAATGCTTCCCTCACCCCTGGGGTCTCTCCTGAGCCAGCCCTGCCTCGGATCTCAGGGTCAGTAGGGCTCACTGTGAGCTAGTTTGTTTTCACAGTTTCTTCTCCCCCATTCTCGTTCTCTGCCCACCCAGGAGGCTTGCTCCCTGAGACTGAGGACAATTTTTAACCTTTATTTTTCTTGGTTTCCAGGCTACAGTACCTGCTCCTATCTCACTCAGTGGGGTCACATCCATCCTCCCTACCACCTGACCACACACACTGGTGATTTCTAAATTGACATCTCTCCTTGTAGGGGCTGTCAGTAGAGAGGACTGGGACACCTCTTTTGCTAGAGTGCAGGGATCCTCTTCAAACTTTAGATAAATTGTTACCTGACCTGATCATCATAGACCAGAAGGGATATCCTCTCTCCATGCCCTCAAATCACTCAGTGCATTTAGTTAAGCACATATCACACTGTGTGTTTAAAAAAGTCATGTGTCTCCTTACTGAAAAGGTATAGGCAGGAAT